CCGAACGGGGACTAAAAAAAAAGACGACCAGAGATGCAGCGAATAGTATGCTTTTGTAATATATGCAGTTTCAGTGGCTTTGCTTTCTGAGAAAAAAATTCTGGCCATGCACCTGAAAAAACAAAAAAAAACAAAAAACATTTAGTCAAAAGTAAGCCGAGGTTGTAGCATATGTGCTCCCATTAGCTGTTAAATTTAATTAAAAAAAGATATTTGTGCATCGTCTTTTCAGTACGAAAACATATTACTTAATATATTTATACCAGCCAGAAAGAAATTGCATTAGGAATATAAATGGACAATTGACGCATGTCTAGCAGTATACTGTTTGAAAGGCCGCAAGATGTAATGAAATAGCAAACCAATCACTACTTGAGTCACACTGGATGGGAAACTGCACAATACATACAAAAATGTATGCAAATGATATATGAGCAGCTCCACCAAATTTAAAAATATTCTGTCCATAGTTATGTTAGACTCTAATGTGAATGTGATTTTCCACTCCTTAGCAATACTAGTTTGTGTATTGTATTGTATTGTACTGTATCATAAAATTTATTGTGATTCTAAATTTGTTTATTTAGCTTTATTCTATTTAGTTGGTTAACTTTACTGTATCTTAATGTAGTTTATTTTATTTGTATACGACCATAGAACAACTCACTGTTTTAATGTTGAATGAATATTATAATTAGGGGCCCAAGCCCGAAGGGCGAGGCCCCTATTCTTATTGTCCGTTTTTTCTTCTTTCTTTCTTCTTTCTTCCGTAACTTTTTTCGTCAAGCCATTTGAGAAAACCGCTGAACGGAATGGTCTGATAATGCTCTATACTGATAGTCCCTAATGTGAACTGGTGCAAGATGCTTTTCAGAATTTTGATTGGTCAATTAGTTTGGCAACCATATTGGATTGAAATAAAACCGGAAGTGGCTGTTTGACCACTTTCTGAGGGTCTAGGCGTCTAGATTTTTTATGGTATATAGTACTACTCATGTGTAATAAATATCAGCAATAAAAACTTTAGCGGTCACGTGACTTTTCTCGCCATTTTGTTTTCCCTGAAAACGGCGAAAAACACTTAAAAATCTTCTTCTTCAGAACCATCAAGCACAATGCTCTCATATATAGTATTTGGCTTCTATATATGAAGCCCATTTATGTTTGAAAAAATTATTACGATTGGTCACATGGTTTGACCACCATTTTGGATTTCTTCTAAACAGGAAGTAGTTTTTTTTACTCATGCCACACTTGAGGGATTATTTTTAATATTGCTGTATGGCATCTCTATATCAAACTCTTTCAGAAACCTAAAAAAGATTACAGATCAGTCACATGGTTTGGCCGCCATCTTGGATTTTAAGCAAAATTGACTAAAAGTTTGGGCATTTGTTTTTCAGAGGTGACTCAACCAATCTACTGATGTTTTTATATTTACGTTGTTTGGCCGCCATCTTGGATTTTGCGAAAATAGAAATTATGCAACTACATGTTTTGTATTAGTCTGATTTCTTTCAAATTTTGTATGTGTATTTGTGTCATCAGATGCATCATTTTGCCCCAATAGCAAACTGCTAGGCCACGTGGCTGGGCACCCATGGGGTGGGGGCTTCTGACCTCATTAATATGCATAACTGTTATAACTCAAGCACTGTTGTAGTTAGGATGATGAATCCTGTGTTATTATGACAACAGTGAACAATAGATTTGATTCAAATAACAGATGACCATATATGGTCATGTGAACTCATTAATATGCATAACCATTATATCTTAAACACTGTTTCAGTTAGAAAGATGAATCCTGTGTTATTATGACAACAGTGAACAAGAGATTTCATTAAAATAACAGATGACCATATATGGTCATGTGAACTCATTAATATGCATAACCATTATATCTTAAACACTGTTGCAGTTAGGAAGATGAATCCAGTGTTATTATGAC